CTTTTCACAGCCTGTGCAATTTCATCTACAGAGATAGTAATATCCGTACCCTTCTGCTCTACAGGCGAATATTCCTGCTGTTGCGCGGGGTTAAGGAGTTCCTTAAAGTACTCCCTCCATCGCCGAAGAATGTCATCATCCTTGATAAGATAGTGTAAAGGTCTGTCCTTCAAGAAGCTGAGGCTGCCCTTCTTTTCATCTCAGAGCCGGCGGATGGTCTGCCAGTATACCTTGTTTGCCGTGTGGAAATTCGACTCCAACACATAACCGAACTTCTCTCAGGAAACATCCTTGGCTTTTGTTACTGCTATTGCTGCCGCCTTGCGTGCCTTGACATATCGCACCTGAGTAGATGGCTCCTTGTTTCCATGCGACTTCTTGAACGCTGCTTTTTTCTCTTTAACTGCCAGTTGTACCTCTCGTGTCCACCATGAAGATCTCTGCTGACCTCCGGACGGCAGGCAACCCGTTTATAACCGCAGCATTCGACGGCAGCCTCGGGTAGGCCTCTCTGAAACAGCTGCCACTCGGTTTCAACATCAGTTCTCATCACTGGGATCTGTTCAAACGGTCGTGCGATGTTGTTTGAAAATTTCGCTCTCGTGTCCGCCGAAAACAATGTTTCCCATTTGATTCTCTGGTTGCTTTTGCCGCCGGATCTTCGTATGGTACTCCATTTCTTACAGCGCAGCGTGCCAACAACAAAGTGATAATCGGTTGATAGCTCTGCGCCTCCTTTAACACGAACATCCATTACTGAGCTTCTTAGGTCAGACGATACGATTATCAAATCGATCATCGTCTTCTGTGCACAAGCTTCCCGTAACCAGGTATACTAATGCACCCTTCGGTGCTCGAAGAAGGTGTTCATGATAGACAATCCGTTGTTTGCACAAAACCGCAACAACTTCATGCCGTTATTGTTGAGATCGTTAGGGCCGTTTTTTCCAATCACGCCGTTCCAATTTTCAGCGTCTACTCCGGCGTGCGCATTAAAACGCCTATTAGTATGAGGGACTTTGTATTCCGCACTTCGGACAAAGCACATTGCACTTCCTCAAGGAAAGTCTCATATTCTCCATCCAAATTGGGCGCATAGACCTTGGGTATTATGTTTGCTAAACAGAAACAACTATATATTACTCGAAACTTTTGGCCTAATCTTTTTCTCCTATATTGCATGCAGCTAAAGAAGGCAAATCGATATTCCTCCAGTGTTCTCTTTTCTTCTCCTCTACTCGATTTCGGTCTAAGTTATTTGGAGATATGGTCGTCTCAGACTTATTTTGGACCATCGACAAATATTTTGGCATCCAACGAAGTGCAGTCCAACGAAGTGCAGTTCATAACTGATATTTGCCCGATGTCCTCAGGCGATTGGTATGGAGGTATCTGCTGTTGGAATCGTACCTTAAGGAGAACACACTCTTTATCGGATATACAGCCGCCAGCACTTATAGGATTAACACCGTTCTGAAAACTGGCAGAGCCCATGATATTGAAAATCGTCAAGTAATACTGAATGACTGCTTTGGAGTCGAGGAAGGCATGCTTGTCACAAAGAGTTCCAAGGCTACCATCTAAATTTGTGACCACTGGAGTTGAGACTCAGGTTCATTAGTTTACTCTTCATCCATCAATTCATACTGATGGCTTTCTATTCCTTAGGGTGCTCAGAAACAGCAGTTTTAGATGATCGCTCCTATGATCCTGATTCAACAGCAAACGGCAGATTCAGTGGTCTGATTTCCAAAGCACGAGGTGAAAATTTTCTACGAAAATGAGGAATCTGATGCTCCATTCCTCCGTTTTTCAAAACATTGCACATGAAGAGTTTCGTCTGTATATTTCCGTGGTTTTTATCACATGTCCAGACGTCTGCATTTGTGTTCGCAGACTCCCTCGTTA